AAGCTCAGTTCTTCTTGAGGGCGTTTCTAGCTGAGGGATTTCTTCTCAACATTAGTAGTTTACTACAGCATCACCTGCCAGTTCCAATGCCCAAGTCCTGAAAGGTCACTGGAACATGTCATATACGTTACTTTTTGATGCGTCACTCGCTGGAGCTTCGTCTCGTTCTTGATGTCGCTTGACCGGGACAAGCGACATAGTCTGCATGTTCATCGGACATTGCCATGTGCATTCATTCCAGGTGTGCAAACAAATTATGACTACGGCACATGACTTGTGGGTTGCATACATGACTTGCGGTGAAGCAACAGCCTCTTTAAAGCGTAGCAATCAGAACCATTGTCACTACTTGGGCAGCACCCCCCAACCCCCAGCCACCCCCGAAGCAGTTTCTTTACGATTCTTTACCTTTACCATCAGGCAACATCCTGAAGTTCATGCACCAAGTAGCAACATGTTCGTAGCAATCACATGCCAAGCATTTGAGGGTCCGGAGAAAAAGGAGAAACAGGCAAAGCATATCTTCTCCGAAGCACTATATTATACATAATAGAACCTATTGAAATGGTTTAAACATGAAATACTGGCATACTGGTACCGTCCTGACCATTGAGCGACACTCACCCTTTGCCGAGAACATCATGTCCAACGTGCCAATGACAACGACCAGGCGATAGCACCAAAACAAATCACTACTAATCAGAACCCAGCACCAAAACTGCATTGCTTTAAAGATGTTGAGGAACTTGGGGAAACCATCCAAACAACCAGCTGCACTCCCATTGCCGCTGTGTCGGTACAGATTGCGCTCAAGCTCATGCAATAAACGCCAACTGATACAGAGTTAGATAGACTTTTGCGCTGGACACCTTCTTCTGAACATCACTGGGTGGGTGCAAAGAGAAGAACCTGGAGGTCCATGTGAACTACGTACAAGAAGTGCAAACTCAGCAGCTTCGTCCACAGGTGCGCAGCTGGCCACCAAAATGGGTGCGAATGTGAAGCAGTGGGACCTTTTAACTTGTTGATCAACATCCATCAACTACAATGCAGTCACTTCCGAAGTGACCTCGGTGCTGCGAGTGGTTTGGACAAACAGGGCCGGGGGTTGCATCAACTGAGAGAACCAAACTGTTGACAACTAGTCTGGGACAGTCCGCTCATACCTTGGGAAGGGAAGACAAGTCAGTAGCTCTATTTGTTTTACAGGCCTTGACCCTGTACTTCCTATACCCTAGAAAATGGGAAATGACCAAACAGGTATACCCCACAGACCCTTTGTACAAACAAGAACAGGGACCGACTCTCCGCATGTTCCGTAAAAAGATCCACGAGTCGACTCGTTATTACTTTTTCCGGAAGGACGAAGGACGTCCCAACTCTGCCGAGTCGACCGGTTTTTTGCGGCGACGTCGGGTTTCCTCGTTTGGCGCGACCGGGCTATGGTTCAGCCAGACTTCGGCCCGGTCGGGCTGACCGGTTGGGTCATTTAATGGAGATAGCTTCGTTTTCACAGCACATCTAACGGTAATCTAACGCACTCCCCCAGGGCCTTCAAGGGGTGGTTAATGGACCCCCCTTAACAGCTAAGGGGCAATAAATAGACACCCCTTGGAGGGTCCTGGCCGATTCAATTCAAATTCTCTACAAAAAAGGTCTGCTTTCCTGCGCCAGTGAATGTTGTGAATGTGTTTCTTGCATATTGATCCAGCATGCACAACATGCCTGCATAGTACCTGCACATGAACATTAATCAACCCTTAGGCAGCGACTCCCACAATTTTGGGTCTGGATACCTTGAAAGGTGTCAATCATGCGGAGGGCCCTTTTCGTGTCACCTTCATCCCCCAAATCAATCTTCTGTCGAGAGTCTTTCTCCACAAACACTCCACAGTGTCCCCCCGTCACTTTTTGCACCGCGGCCACCGTGTGCATTGATTTTACGCAGCATCGGGATCCCGGAACACAAGGGACTGTGAAGCAAAGTTGGGTGATCCTTGTCTCGGCCGATAGTTTGGTATAGTTTGGTCATCCAACACTGAAAAAGGTCACCAACTGAAGAAGCAAATCCAGTTGTGCTAAACATGTTTGTGAATGACATCAACATGTCATTAACTGGGCAAACACACAAATATCTTCAACAATCAACCTGTCAAACAAAAGAAACGGTACAAGCAATCTGAATCAAGCACCAACATTGAATCAACAGAAAAGCCAGTCCGAATGTGTATTTCATGTATCGCCAGTAGTGTTGGTCAGTCACCGTTCCGTGTGTTCAACCCTGCGAGGGTGTTCACCCCCGCGGCGGCATCTCCAATCGGGATCTCAAGCTTCATCGGCCAAAGACGACACTCCCTGGAATCATCGAGGAAATTGGATGGCACAATGTGGCACGGGCACGGCTTCTTGCATGACAAAATCCACCACAAATGGCGCCATCCACGTCCATGATGATTCCAGGGTATTGGTGAAGCCTCCAGGTGCGTGATCATGCAACATGGGACTCCCATGGATTGTCATGTCCCACTTTCGTCTCAACTGGAGACTCCAGGTAAACATCTCATACCACTCCAAGCCCCTTTGGCTGGGAAGTGAAGAAATCTACTCCAGGTGAACTGGAGCTCTGCCTGCAGTTTGTGAAACAGCTATGCTTGGCGAGAAAGACTGCGCTGAGTCAAATCGTTCGAGCCCTTCTTGAGGACCTGAGGATCTCGAGTGAGTTTGGAACCAAGACCTTCCCAGACTCATGCAAACCATGGATGAATTATGATGTGGTTCTATAGACTCGGAACCATAATATATTGTTGCGCCCTGGCAAAATTAAACTGGGTAGTAGAGAAAATAATAATCCAAAGGTCAATTGTCAGGTTCCATGTTAATCTTCCCGGGTGTAACATGCCTTGGTTGATATCATTGCGATTCTCCGTGTATATCCTACACCGGAACCAAATCCAACACCACCTATCCAGGACCCTCCTGTCGGGGTGTCTATTTATAGCCCCAAACAGCTGTGATTCGGGGTGTCCATTAACCACCCCTTGAAGGCCCTGGATCAAAGTCGATGCTCTGTGATGCAGAATATCTCCTCCGTCTTGCCCAGAGTGGCTCGCCACATCTGATCCGAAGCTTTCACCGAATCGGTTTCCGTTTGGCCGAAAGCCTCCGCGGGATTCCGTTGGGAGGGCTTGGACCCCCGTTGGCCGACTTGGAATTAAGGACTTGGACCCATAACATTGGTCTTTCACAATCAGTGTCAATCGATTTTAATCCGAATAAGGAGGGTCCGCAGCAGGACAACTACAATACCCAGTGGGTCAACGCACCAGTTTAACCAGTTCTTTAGTAACGCACCAGTTTAACCGGTGCTTTAGCAAAACTGGGGCTGGAAGCTTAAAAAGGCCGTGAAAAAACCGTGAAAAGCCCGTGAAAACAGGGTGAAAGGCCACGAAAAACCTGTGAACATTAGGTGTTGGAAGTTGGGAGGTGAAATGCGTCCTTTATGCTAACACACCAGTTTAACCCGTCCTTTGGACTTGCTGGAATATGACAATTGCATAGAACAAAATATAGTTCACATCATTTTCCTGCAAAAAAAACAATGGGGAATGTGGAACAATCAATAAGAACATCCTTCACCCAATCAAAGACCAACTTGGCAGGCAGAACTTGAAGCCTCTGTGAAAGTCTATTCCGGCCTGTTTCTTACTTTGTGCACTCTTGTGGTTTGCTGCTTTGGACCATTCCCAAGATTCGAGGTCCCAGGTTCCATGATCCATGACCCCAGGTGTAAGGGTCTTCTGTTACGTCCTACCTGCGGCCCAAAACCAACTACCCACGTGTCACAAGAAATGACCCACCGAAGCTTCAGCTTCGACAGTTGCATCCGAGAGGCGAGAAACCACAGGACCCAATACTCCAGGAGGAAACCCGTCGCAAAACCCAGCAGTAACGAAGGTGAGGAGGTGCTCACACCCACCACGAACCTGAAAAACAAAAATGAAACAACAGAAGCATGATCGTAGTAGTCCTAGTAGGTTGGAGGCCACCGCTAGTAGGTTGGAGGCCACTACCACTTGTAGCTAGAAGCTATTATAACAAGCGGGTTTTATGCGAACCAATTCAATGATCTCGGACCGGGTGACACTCTTGCAAGATGTTTATACTAGATTTTTTTTTCTTTTGTGTGTGTACTTGTGCGTGTGTGTGTGTGTTTTTAACATGTTTGTGAAACACTCTAGTAGGACACTTTTTGTGCGACAGTTTCGCAGGACACTCTTTGGCAACAGTCATTTGAACACTCTTTCACGACAATATTGCGCGACACTCGGGCTTGGGGAGTGCACTTGCCTGACACGCTTCTAGGACATTCTTGTGCGACACTCCCAATGGACACTCTTTTACACCGGTCAGAAAGTTGTTGGCGCAACTCAAAAAAATAAATAGCGGGAACAGCCGCGCCATGTAACTCCTTTTTCTCGCTATTTGGCCGTCATAGATGGCGCAACTGGTCTTTGGATTGCAGAAAAACAAAATTCTGCGGGGTGTCTGTGCGGATACTAGTTTTCCCTATTTCCCAAAAAACGTTTGGGGCCTATAGATGGCCCAATGGCCAAGTTCTGTGCATTTGGCCTGCCGGCTGCAATGTGGCTATAATGTGAAGAAGAGACCTTTGAGCAAAAAATGTGTGGCCCGGTACCAATAGTGATTTCCTCATGTTTCTTCTTGATTTCCTCTTGCCTCTTGAACTTATTCATTTCCTTTTGATGTCCTTTTGCGGTGGGGCAATAGATGGAGCGGTCCCAATCTCCGCTATTTTCTGCAAAATAGCGTGCAAAATCATGCAGATTCTTCCTGTTTTTTTAGCCACGGGCGCATAGATGGCGCAACACACCTGAATGCCCCTGATACCTAAACCTGGCGCAATAAAAAAAAGTCACCTCATAAATTTTCCCAGCGGAGTAATACTTGCTTGCTTGACACTAGTGCGTGAATGTTGTATGAACCAGTTGCCCGCAACTCTTTCATCACGCTTTTCACGGATGCTGGGTGGGACTATCCTACTCGAGACTCTTGAAGGGCACTCTTGCAAAACGCCACCGAATCACACTCACACAGTTTTAGTATACAGTAGATATCCTCAACTAATGCAGCAGACTCTGTAGGCTACTTTCAAAATGCAACGTGCTCCAAAGCTCCACGTTGAATACGGATGAATACGGAGAGCAGCACTAATGGCTAGGACCTGTTGGACAAGCAGTTGCTGCATTGCACCTCTATTGCAACGCCTGTACGTACTGGTCCAAACGTGGATTCACATCTTTCTCAGTCGGCCGTTTTTCGGGACCAGGTGAGGGCCTCTGTCGCAGAAATCTTTGGGCTGATGGGGCGCATCTTGTGAGAAGGAAGCTGCATCTAAACCATGGGTATGTGCCTGGTAACCTAATGAATGGAAACTGCATAGTATATAATGCTAAATGTAGTGGTAAACATGCTGCAGGAACAGTCTGGCTACTGTGTGTCATGAAGCTTGAGACTTCTAGTCGGCCTATGCCTGAAAATAAACGTCACACTTTGAGGATCATATTGTATCAGTCATGTTGAAATATAAACTACCTCACACGAATCTGACACAGCGTCCATCCATCCAAGTCCTCCTGAAAAAGCCTCCCCCATAGCAGTCGGACCAGAACGAGAGCACACCGAGTTAGTTGACGAAGTTGACAACACCAAAGCACTGCGAACACAACACTACCAGAACAAACCCCTAGACTGAAAACCAGAAACCTTCGCCATGCATTCGGAAGAAAAAGCACTAGGAAGTGGCCATGGAATCAACTTATGTTTGGAGAATGGGGTAATTACATGTTCTAGGTGCCAAACCCCGCAACATCGTCTCATTTGGATTGATTTGATGTGAGAGAGCCGTCTGGGGGTGGGCTACAGAAATGAACAATTAGAGGGAATGTCAATCTGCGACATTACTCATTTAAAGGAACTGGCGGGTGGCCAAACTGCATGCACCATATAACCCCTGCAAGGTCTTCCATGCACATCTTGCCGCGGGAATTCCCCCCTCTGGATCCCCATTTTTGTGCATGCCGAACCGAAGATGCGACTGAACCCGAAATCGAAATCGCCGCCCCATAAAGGTGTCCATGGCCAGACTGCCATACTCATCCAATTTCGAGCAGGGCACATGGCAGACAAGACAGACATCAGCCCAAAAAGGAGAAGCGACAGGATGGTGCACAAGAACGAGCCCACCACCAAGCGTGGACCAAAGCCGGTGACCATTCCGGAGACCTGAAAGGTGTGAAGGTGAATTAAAGTTCGTCCAAAGTCCACCAATGTCCACATCCAAAGCCAAGCCAAGCAAAGAACGAATCCTAACCGGACCAGGACCTCCACGTGACGCTACTGGAGATCCCAGGATGTTCTGTCAAGGTTCCTGGGGGCTGTGTGTCCGGATCTAAAGTGGTTCCGGGGAACAAAGTGCTTCCCCGTCATCCACTCGAAGGATCAAGGTTGGGTCTAAAGCCTAAAGCCCAGCCCGGTCACTCCAGGTAGCAGCGGACGGGTCACAGCAGGTCTCTTCAAACAAGCTCGGTTGACTGAACATGTTACTAAACCATCAAAGACCTGGTTTTCCCCAGCAAGAAACGTGGTTTCGTGCGTGTTCTCACCTCCATTGTTCATGGGTTTGAGGGCATCCGGTATTTTGAGTCAGTCGGTGGTATGAATCAAAGACATCCATTCTCCATCTTCTTCAGTTCGTGTACGTGCTTTTTTATGGGGTCGTGTCATCATGTCCCATTTTCTAAGGTACTTTGGAGGGTCCAGTCCAGGTATAGGGTCAGGCACCAGGTCAAGCACTCCGGAGAATTCAGTTGGACCAACCTTTGGCGTTCTTGACCGTTGGACAAGCAGCGGAAGGACCTCGACCCAACTTCGCTCCAACCCTTGAACATGGGACACCACCCCAAAAAAATAAGTATATGCTGTATACTATGCTGTATATATCTGTACATATTTGTATGCCGAAGCCACATTTTCTGAAGTACGAACTGAAACTGAAGGGAGGTGGTCTTCTTGACGGGTCCATGAGAACATACAGGCTAGCTGTGTCACCTGTCCATTCTATCTTTCTCTGACCTGTCCTGCCCACCAAGAGACACGTTGGTTCACCCACATCATCGCAGGATAAGGAGTGACACATGCAATCGGCCAAAAGAAAAGAGTCATCACCACATTGGTAGCCTTACAGCAAGCTGCGGTTCTTGGACAGCAAACATCGCACAGCTGGCAGAATTTGAGGCAAAAGCTCTAACGCCCCGCCCCTCCTAATTTCATCACCGTCCTGTTCTCCCCCCAACACTGTCAAACATGAACAGCCATCACTCACTCTTGAGCTTGGTCTCCGTATACTCCGCCACCGAGGCAAATCTCAAGTTGTTGGCTGCCGTCGCACAGTCTGGCTGGCCATCGCAGCCCAGGACGGAGACCAAGCCAGAGAACCAGGCAGGCAAACATGCCACCAATATCAGCTTGAAGGACATGCACTCAGGTCCTTAGGTGGGCTGTTTTTTTCTGACTCCCGAGCCGTTTCCCTTGAAAAAGACAAGTTGACCTTTTGCAATCTGTTCATATTTAATGGGGTGTCCCCAATCCCAAACATTAGGTTATATAATGTTATATAAAGAGGTTATCCACTGACTGGCTGGGTATTTCAAATAGTGGACTAGATTGGTCCCTTTCTCTCTTCCGTGTGGCAAAATCCCTGCTTGGCCCTACAAACCCTTCTCTCTCAGGACCAATCAATGTCCAGGCCGCGAACCGAACAGCGGGGCGAAACATCGACCGTCTTCGACGAAACATCAGGGACCGGGAGAGCATCAGGTCTTTCTCTAAGTTTCATTTGGATATGAAACAGGTCATTCTCTAAGTTTCATTCTAGTTTCATTCATCAGGTCTTTCTCTAAGTTTCATTTGGATATTGGTGTTTGGAGCAGTTCACCACGGGCCATCCGACTACCACACGGGAGTTCCCTGGGAGGGGGCGGCGCTCCCAAAACAGACCAAAACAATGCATGCTCCCGATCCCGTCGTCGACTGTCTATGGCATGCGTTGGGTTCAAAGTACTCCAAGTCCCTCGGAAAATATTAACTTTTGCATGTTCATCCATTTTCTAGCTTCCTTGGACTTTCCACTTCCTTGGAAAAGCCTTGTTAGTGGACAAACAGTGAATGCGGCAAGGACGGGCCCTCCGTTATAGGTGCAAAGAATTGAAAGCCAAAAGAAGGGATTCATGAGAAGGCCTTGTGTACTTGGCGTGTCAAAAAGGCGGTTCACTTTGCGATAGATTATTTCATCTACTATCTGCTCTTTTGCACATGTAGCAGTGGATTGGCTTTTCCATTCTATGTAGAGCTCGTGCGATGTCAGTCTAAATGGGTGTGCTTTGCTGGACCTGGATTCCGAAGCAGCATTCTGACGAGGCTTGGCCTGTGTGCGGAACAATGGGTCTCCAAATGTGACAAGCCAAGCCCTGTGTGTACCCCACAAGGAAATTGTATTCCAGGACCCTCCAAGGGGTGTCTATTTATAGCCCCTTAGCCGTTAAGGGGTATCCATTAACCACCCCTTGAAGGCCCTGGTTCCTTGCCCATAGACTTTTAAGGCCCGTTTTTGCCAAAAAGGCCCCGCTGTACGCCTCGTGGTGACCCAGCGACCGAGAAATCGCTCGAACGCTGCCGGTGGATCGGTGGCCAGGTGACGCCCCAGCAAGGCTATCACGCGATCCCGCAAGGGGCCTCTGACGTAGGCGTTGAACTGCTCAAGGACCTCCTCTTGAGTTGGATAGCTGGTGATACGACCTCAGTGACCAAAGCCAATGCGAAGATCCCAGCGACTTTGGGAGGATTTGTGCCATTTGTGCACATGTTTGCCTGAAATGCAAATTCACCCTTTGGAATCTGCTCGCATGATCTCACATTTACAACCCTTAAAAGCCGTGCAGAAAGGCCAAGATGGATTGAGCGATTGATTTTTCTGCATATCGTCTGCAGGCTTGATCTTTGACCTCTTCAAACCCACAGGCACCACCCAGTGGCTGTAACAAGCAAAACCAGATTTACCAGTTCGTGGCGAAGAGTTCCCTCAAGCACCGACATGTAGACTCCGGATTCATAAACCCCCCATTATACCATTTGGATTGAACCTCTTCATGTGTTGGCAGAGGTTATTCATCAAAAGGGATCAAAGGATCTACATAAAATTACAATACAAGTACACTATTGCTACTAGTAGCTTTTTGCTACGAGTAGCACTCGCCTCCACCCTAGTAGCTTCTTGTTCCTATAGTAGTAATGCCACGAGCTACTAGTAGCTTCTTGTTACCAGTAGTAATGACTTCCACCCTAGTAGCTTCTCATTACTAGTAGTAATGGCCTCCACCCTAGTAGCTTCTTGTTCCTACTAGTAATGCCAGGAGCCACTAGTAGCTTCTTGTTACATATATATATATATATATTATATTTATTGATTGTGCTTTTCTGTACAAACACACCCTTCGCGAAATGTTCGCTTCAAAGCCACGGATGTGATCGTCCAGACTCGAACCCATCAGCGGCAGATGCGTTCCCTCCCTGTCGCCGACCTCCGGACCAAGCACGTCAGCGGCGTCCAAAGCTACCTCGGTGCAGATCGAAAGCCCGAAATGAGATATCCGGATGGCAAAAGGGCCATGTCGCACAGTATTTTTCGGAAGCCTTCATGGAAGGGGTTAGCCAAAAGACTGCAGGCTCATCTTCTATTGCAAGTATATCGAAGTGACCACAAGGTATGAGGGCATAACAAACATGAAAACATCTTGCGTTTTGAGGGTCCGGGTGTTTCTCTTTTCTGTCGTTGCGCCAGACCGGCAAAAGCCAGACTTTCTACTAAGCCGACTACACTAACCTTTCACTCGACGGTTCTGCGGTTGTGAACGAGCATGACCAAACGGCCGCGCGGGGTGAAACGATGTTCATGAGGCCAGGTGAGACGACGTTGCCACTGAGTGGCCCTTCTTTGTGAGTGGCCGGGTAGGGCAAAGCAGCTTCGGCAGATTGGACAACGGTCCCTTAACCGTGGAATTGGGATTTGAAGGGGTTGAATCAACGGCCCGTTCGCGGATGTCTGTGGCGTCAAGTGGAAGCTACGATGCTTGTAGAGAGGAGTCCAAATGGCGAAGTGAGGCGACCTCGCCATATATTACGGATGGTCGCGAGAGAGCGCATGAGCCCATGGTAGCCCAGGAAGCGCTTACAGAGAAGAGACGAGTTACGTGCCAATAGAGGGTCATTGATGATTGTTACTGTTATTGTTTTGGTATGTGTTAGCCAGAATTGCCTTGTGCATCCTTGTGCTGTTTGCTGGAGTCTTTGATCTTCTTTGAGATGTCTGACGAGTCTCCACGGTATGCCTTCAGACTTAGTCTCTTAGTCTCCAAGTACCGAAACCACCTCTTTTGTCGGAAAAAGGGTGACCCTCCCATGTTCCGCAACCCTTTGAGGGTCCGACATAGAATTAGATGTGGCCAACATGACATCCAACAGTCAGGTCAGGGTCCAGGTACCTCCTTTTCGGATGGTCTTCGGAGGTGAGTACGGTGCTTTTGCGAAGAAATGGACTGAGAAATGGAGGGTCCCCGTAACCCCCCAAGAAACAGCGGAAGCAAGAACCACCGCTTTGGACTGGTTTGTGGTTTCAATGCATGAACGACGAACGACAAAAAATATGCGTCAGTGGGCTCAATGATCCTAAGAAAAGGGACTCTGCGATGATCAGGAAGGGTGTTTCATCTTTCCAAAAAGACTTTAAAGCCTTGGCTTGCTTGGCTCTCCAGGCTATCCAATATATAAACATATCACATATCTGACACCACCACTCAGTGAAGAACTCCACCTCCATGACCTCGAAAACCGCTAGTTATTTGCCTTAAGTGCTTTCAAAACAACGAAGAAGTGCAACTGAGCGGAGATGTTGGAAGGTTAGAATTGGCATAAACCCTTGCATATCAACAACATTTCAGCTCATGTATTCCATAGTATTCCATACATGAAATGTCGAGAGAATCATGCTGAGTCACGGATAATGGAGGCTCCAAAGCCTCGTCAAAGAGTGTGAAGATATGTTTCTTGATGACAATGCGGTCAGTTTCCAGGGTACATGTGGCATCTCTCCAATCGAAGCATTCCATTTGCTCCAACATGGTCTGGTGACTATCTATCTTCCAGATGCAGAAGGCGGAAAACAAGGTGCTGATAGCAATGTATGTGTAAGGAGGTCCAAGGTATATTTGAAACCTGAGCAGCTGCAGGAATAGAATCCAACCAACCAACAAACAAACAACCATACCAAACCAAACGCAACCCAAACCACCTAAAAATAGCAAAAACAAACAAACTAACTAACAAATTAACCAACATAACATAACATAACATAACATAAACAAACAAACAAACAAACAAACAAAAATACAACATAGAAGGTACGCTCACGGAATGGCAGCATCAATGCAACATCAAACTCGACATCAGACTAGAGACAAGGAGATGAACCGTGCCATAGGATCTAATTCCAATGGGAATGTCTTCCAAAGGGCCAGCGGCACACTTGCCAAGGTCGTCACGCCAGCCCACCAAATGGTCCAGACCGGAACCCACACGGGTATGAAATGGATTGCAGGTCCGTTCGAGCTCCGAGCCTCCGGGCATCGCTGCGAACGGAGCGATCGGACGCTAGTAGTGGCTGCTGGCCTCCTGGCCTTACTACGAGTAACAAGAAGCTACGAACGGAGCTGGTCCGTTCTTTCGCTCCAAGCCTCCACAGTCCATCTTTTCCAGTACCGAAAATGGGACATCACCCTAGAAAAAATGAAGAAACAGGTACTTGAAGGCACTTGTACTCATTTTCTGAGGTACTCTGCACGGTATAGGTTTTTGAAATGGTCATGCTACTCTTCGAGAGGCTGACACGTTGACAGCCCTTTTTGATTCTTTTCAGCCTATGCGCAGCACTACATCGTGTCCCATCATTAGGTCCCGGGCGAAGCGAAAAAAAGGGAGGGGCTGAACCAATATATGAATTTTTGAGCTTTTGATGAACAGGGATCAACTGGGTGCCCGAAATCACAAATTCGACCAATTTTTTTAGGGATCTACTGCCACCTTCTTAGAAGGTACGACTGGACCCAAGTCCATTTCTACATAAAAGAATATCCAATCACCTTCTCAAAGGGTATGTGAATGCATGGGGAATAGCGTTGGGCACCAAAACATTCATGACCAATCCTCTGTGGATCACTATCGATGACCCCCAGGTGGTGCAGGATTTCATCCCATGATGCACCGGGATATCGGAAGACTTTTCATGGATCTGCTGAACCAACCAAAAAAAACAAAGGCCTTAGATGTTTTTGTTGAAGGCCTCGGCCTCAGGGGCTTCTGAACGCTCAACCAATTGCATATAAAAAAGGTAGAGACTCCTGGAGTCTCAAAGTTCATTGAAAAAAAATGGGCACGATTGAGTGAGTGTTCTACCAGGACGCACAATTAACTAGGGATTATTGAGGTTTAGGGTTTAGGGTTTGTATTATTATTCGCGTGGAATTGCCAAGAACTTGATACTCATTCGGTTGCCAAAAACAAACACAGAACAAACTCAAACGCCCCAGGCGTGCGTGAAACACAAGGAATTGAGAGCAGTTATACTATCCCCAAATTTGGGTACAGATGATGCACTATTCTTCTCAGCATCCTTGTTCGCTTGAACCGTGGTAGTATTGAAGCAGGCAACCAAACACCGAAATGAATGAACCGAACCCGAGCACACCTGGTCCTTCGACTTGAAAAGCGGAAAAAAAAGAAACGACTCTGTGCACTTAAAGTTGTCCTCAAAAAACAGAAGCAAGAGCACTGAGTCTCAAAATACTTTGGACAATAGGTATAGATCTTGCTGAATTATATTAATTCGTAGGTCGTTATAGGTCGAATTGTTTATTTCTAAATTGAAATAAGACTCAGATCGCGTGAAATAAAAATATTACTGTGACAAGACTCAGATCGCGTGAAATAAAAAGATTACTGTGACGTCGCAGGGGGAAATAAAGAATTCAACCTAACTATAGGAATTATTGCAACAAATACAAGTCAGGTATGGCGTGACCTCACTTCACACTAAGCTTCAAAAGTGTTATGAAAAGCCAGTGCAAAAACATGCAAAAACAATGCAATCCAAACCATTCCAAACCACTCTCTTTGAACTCTTGCGGCATGCCCGTTTCCCTCCTGGCAACAACTTCATGGCCTGGCTTGCACGGCGGGAGATACTTTTTTTCAATTAGCTAGGATTTCTCCCACGGTGATTTCTCAAGACGCCCAAATTTGAGCTTTTAGGGCTTGGCGTGGAAGTCATTTACAAAATGAAATAGAAGGACCACTACCACCCTTAATTCAGAAACTTAGGTCAAATTTTTAAGTAACGTCGGGTGACGTCGCGATAATTGCAGATAGATGTACCTATTTTGATGGGGTCGCGTCCCAGTTTCTAAGGTACTTGAAGTCGGGTTCAGAAACGTGAATTCCAGCACCCAATGCTACAGGTCACCACTTTAGGCCACTGAGGCAGTCAAAGCCCCCCAGAGGAGAACTGGAGGGTGCTGGTTGATCCGATCGGCACGAACCGTCTTGTTAATTAACATATTAACAAAAACATAACAAAAGAAAGACACCAGCTCACCGCCCAGTCATGATTGTTTGTGAGGCCAACAAAAACTAGGCTCACCTCAGGTGGCCGAGTTCAATCCTCTAGGGGTGTGCTACGTATTTTCTCCAAGCTGGATCCTAGCAGGACCAGGAGTGAAAAGCTGTACATAGACGTGGAGTGGAGTGTCAGTTCGTACTTGATGTACAAGTATCTTGCTTTTGGTTTGGTTCATATTCCATTTCTAGAATAATTCTATACGAACTGGAGGGTCCAGGCAAATCTGGCTGGAATTGAAACCACCACTCTTACTTAGCTTCCTTGCAGGAATCCCGCCAAGAGGAGCATGGTCATTCCCTGATCAACTCAAACATACTATGTTTCCATATCTGTGGTTTGTGTCCACGGCATCTTGAGTCTACGACAGCGCAACCGCTAAAAAAAACACAACCCGACGACACAGTTATCATACCACTCAACGACTCCATGCGGTGGAGATCGGTGTTCCGCCTTGATCGTGAGCTCAAAAATACACCAAAGCTTCCTGGATGAATCGGGACGCCGCGAGTTCTCGCGACATCGGGTTTTGCCAAGTCGGTCCCGGCCCTTGGCCCAGTCGGTCCCTAAACCGGAATCGACCTGGGTAAAAACCACTTCAAGTCCGTATACTTCAGGCGACGAGTTCTGCGATTTGACTGGATTCTGCGATTTGACTGGATTCCCACGCAAACCCGGACGCAAGATCCTCTCAAATTATCCAAAATCAGCGGGTTGGAGACGACCATGACTGGTGTTTACTGGTATTTTCCTCTTAGAGGGTCGGATCACCCATTTGGGACTGGTGAGCAACTCCTAGCTCACCTGCATCTGTGCTTACTCACCTGTGTATTATCAAAGGGTGTGTGGAGCGCTTGGATGTGTTGCGCAAGTCATGGAAGCTCTGTATAGGCAAACAGCCCCGATGTATCCCGCTCAATCCAAGGCCTCGAAAAAATGTTTCACCGGCAAGATGCGTAAACAGTGTTTGGTCCCACACCACCAACATCTCAGCGGACTCCGCCACAAAGGCAGGCACTGCTTGAAGTGTCTTGGTCTTCAAAGGCAGGTTCGTCTGGTGCACACACAGCCCATCGAACCAAAAGAATTGGCACTGAAACCTCGGGCGTTCGAAGACCCACCGAAAACAGCGGACCGTGTCCGAAGTGGTCCAACGCAAGGACAGTACTGCGGAAAGTGGAGGGTCCGGCATACATATCTTTGAGATGTCCCAAAAGGCTTGGTTGGAGGTCATAAATGGTGTTTCCTATACTCTCGTCCATCTCTTCAATACAAGAAACAAAAACACACACACTTCGACAATTGTATTCAGTTAACTCAGTTACCACGATGGGAAGGATGGCGAAGAACCGCAAGGTGGAAGAGTCAGCTGAAACAGTATGGTTGAACATGGTTTCCAAAGGTGCAAGTCTGCGGTCGGCGGCTGGCTGCAATTCACGAGCGGTTGACAAATGCGGTGGGAAACCTGTTTCGGGGAAGGATCACATGAAACACCATGAAACAAACCAAAGGAGTGGACAGCGTGGTCAAAAGTTCATTGAGCAGGTACACGAGAAAGCGTCCTTTCTCGCTTCACAATCTCAAGCCACCGTCTTCGTTGGGCAGTGGATGGAATGAGATTCACTGCCCCCCTGCATTCAAAACTCTTAGTTACAGAGGTGGAACCCTTAGATACAGGGGGTGACACACACAAATCGCCGATTCCGGCGCAAGTGTGTAGAACGTTGAAGGTGGAACTTTGCACAGAAAGCGCCAATATTGGCGCTGTGAAAAACTAATAGCCACCTAAAAAGCCTTAGAAAGACAAACAAAGCAAACAAAACAAAAGCAGACTAAGAGGGCAAGAAAGAAAGATAGAGGTAGTTACGAGGCCCACTTAGTTAAATGAAAGTAGAGCGCGAGCGGGACATTTGTCTTAAACCGCCCGGGTAGCTAGCAATAGGCTAGGAGAAACAGAAGGAAAGGCACCAACACACAAGTGTGTTGAGTGCGATTTCCTTCTGTTTCCCAAGTAGCGGGTGGGGTAGCAACGGAGGCCCAGGGGTAGGGAGGGGAAAAATGCACGATTAATTCGTCCGGCCTGTGAATACTTAGCAGCACATGCACATGTGAATACTTAGCCGTTGCAAGCGTTTCGAAACTGTCAGTTCCCGTGGTGAGGCCCGGCGGCCGTTGTGGCAGTTAATTCGGTGGTTGTGGAGGTGACTTCCAGTGGCGTTCCTGTGAAAGGTGGTGAGGTCAGTTAGTGCTTGCACGATGAGACAGCGCCCCAATGACGGGGATCACACTCAGCACCCGAGTGGGACGGCTGAGCGAAACACACTTCGACAATTGTATTCAGTTAACTCAGTTACCACGATGGGAAGGATGGCGAAGAACCGCAAGGTGGAAGAGTCAGCTGAAACAGTATGGTTGAACATGGTTTCCAAAGGTGCAAGTCTGCGGTCGGCGGCTGGCTGCAATTCACGAGCGGTTGACAAATGCGGTGGGAAACCTGTTTCGGGGAAGGATCACATGAAACACCATGAAACAAACCAAAGGAGTGGACAGCGTGGTCAAAAGTTCATTGAGCAGGTACACGAGAAAGCGTCCTTTCTCGCTTCACAATCTCAAGCCACCGTCTTCGTTGGGCAGTGGATGGAATGAGATTCACTGCCCCCCCTGCATTCAAAACTCTTAGTTGCAGAGGTGGAACCCTTAGATACAGGGGGTGACACACACACACATTCGCAACAATTTGGGCACACATGGAATGTATGGCCACGGCAATTTGTTGAGTTTCGCAACATGACCACACACACGTCTTGACCCGCAAGTGTAACACAGTGTTTGGTTGCGCGCTGCCAAGTGCTGCCACATCAGTCAAACATATAATATATTATATATATATAAATATCAGAAAGGAGCGCTCTGAGCGGCGCGTTTTTGCATTGTTTCATTTTGTTTGTATTTTGTTTCTATATTTGTATTGCGTTTCTATTGATTTTTGTGCCACTGAAAGAATACTATTCTGCCTCAACCCCCCCCTCCCCCAAAGGCAATTTCCAAAATTCCAATTTTCCAAAATTCCAATTTTCCAAAATTCCAATTTTGAAACGCGCAAACGACCTTTCTGCTCGAACGGGCTTTGGGCCTAAA